CTAGCTGTAGGACTTGTTATCGATTCCGTGGAAGAAGTGCTTGCATATGTGTTGAGCGTTGATCCCGCATTGCCAGTTGAAGATGAAATCTGATTGGTAGCTTCACTCTTGGTTGTAGATAAAACTTCTTCCGTAGAAGAGAAGATCTCACCTGCTTCAGATGTGCTAGCCGTAGGACTTGTTATCGATTTCGTGGAAGAAGTGCTTGCATATGGATTGAGCGTTGATTCCTCATTGCCAGTTGAAGACAAAATCTGATCAGTAGGTTCGCTCTTAGTTCTAGATAAAATTTCTTCCGTTGAAGAGGAGATCTCGCCTGCTTCAGTTGTGCTAGCCGTAGGACTTGTTATCGATTTCGTGGAAGAAGTGCTTGCATATGGATTGAGCGTTGATTCCTCATTGCCAGTTGAAGACAAAATCTGATCAGTAGGTTCGCTCTTAGTTCTAGATAAAATTTCTTCCGTTGAAGAGGAGATCTCGCCTGCTTCAGTTGTGCTAGCCGTAGGACTTGTTATCGATTTCGTGGAAGAAGTGCTTGCATATGGATTGAGCGTTGATTCCTCATTGCCAGTTGAAGACAAAATCTGATCAGTAGGTTCGCTCTTAGTTCTAGATAAAATTTCTTCCGTTGAAGAGGAGATCTCACCTGCGTCAGTTGTGCTAGCCGTAGGACTTGTCATCGATTCCATGGAAGAAGTGCTTGCATATGAATTGAGCGTTGATTCCACATTGCCAGTTGAAGATGAAATCTGATCAGTAGCTTCGCTCTTGGTTGTAGATAAAATTTCTTCCGTTGAAGAGGAGATCTCACCTGCGTCAGTTGTGCTAGCCGTAGGACCTGTTATCGATTCCGTGGAAGAAGTGCTTGCATACGGATTAAGCGTTGATTCCTCAGTGCCAGTAGAAGATGAAATCTGATCAGTAGCTTCGCTCTTGGTTGTAGATAAAATTTCTTCCGTTGAATAGGAGATCTCACCTGCTTCAGATGTGCTAGCCGTAGGACTTGTTATCGATTCCGTGGAAGAAGTGCTTGCATATGAATTGAGCGCTGATTCCTCATTTCCAGTTGAAGATGAAATCTGGTCAGTAGCTTCGCTCTTGGTTGTAGTCAAAATTTCTTCCGTTGAAGAGGAAATCTCACCTGCGTCAATTGTGCTAGCCGTAGGACTTGTTATCGATTCCGTGGAAGAAGTGCTTGCATATGAATTGAGCGTTGATTCCTCATTGCCAGTTGAAGATGAATTCTGATCAGTTGCTCCGCTCTTGGTTGTAGTCAAAATTTCTTCCGTTGAAGAGGAAATCTCACCTGCGTCAATTGTGCTAGCCGTAGGACTTGTTATCGATTCCGTGGAAGAAGTGCTTGCATATGAATTGAGCGTTGATTCCTCATTGCCAGTTGAAGATGAATTCTGATCAGTTGCTCCGCTCTTGGTTGTAGTCAAAATTTCTTCCGTTGAAGAGGAAATCTCACCTGCGTCAATTGTGCTAGCCGTAGGACTTGTTATCGATTCCGTGGAAGAAGTGCTTGCATACGGATTGAGCGTTGATTCCTCAGAGCCAGTTGAAGATGAAATCTGATCAGAAGCTTCGCTCTTGGTTGTAGATAAAATTTCTTCCGTTGAATAGGAGATCTCACCTGCTTCAGTTGTGCTAGCCGTAGGACCTGTTATCGATTCCGTGGAAGAAGTGCTTGCATACGGATTGAGCGTTGATTCCTCAGAGCCAGTTGAAGATGAAATCTGATCAGTAGCTTCGCTCTTGGTTGTAGATAAAATTTCTTCCGTTGAAGAAATCTCAACTGCTTCAGATGTGCTAGCCGTAGGACTTGTTATCGGTTCCTTAGAAAAAGTGCTTGCATATGAATTTAGCGTTGATTCAACATTGTCAGTTGAAGATGAAATCTGGTCAGTAGCTTCGCTCTTGGTTGTAGATAAAATTTCTTCCGTTGAAGAGGAAATCTCACCTGCTTCAGACGTGCTAGCCGTAGGACTTGTTACCGATTCCGTGGAAGAAGTGCTTGCATATGGATTGAGCGTCGATTCCTCATTGCCAGTTGAAGATGAAATCTGATCAGTAGCTTCGCTCTTGGTTGTAGATAAAATTTCTTCTGTGGAAGAGGAGAAATCACCTGCCTCAGTTGTGCTAGCCGTAGGACTTGTTATCGATTCCATGGAAGAAGTGCTTGCATATGGATTCAGCGTTGATTCCTCTTTGCCAGTTGAAGAGTAAATCTGGTCAGTAGCTCCGCTCTTGGTTGTAGATAAAATTTCTTCCGTTGAAGAGGAAATCTCACCTGCTTGAGACGTGCTAGCCGTAGGACTTGTTACCGATTCCATGGAAGAAGTGCTTGCATATGGATTCAGCGTTGATTCCTCTTTGCCAGTTGAAGAGTAAATCTGGTCAGTAGCTCCGCTCTTGGTTGTAGATAAAATTTCTTCCGTTGAAGAGGAAATCTCACCTGCTTGAGACGTGCTAGCCGTAGGACTTGTTACCGATTCCATGGAAGAAGTGCTTGCATATGGATTGAGCGTCGATTCCTTATTGCCAGTTGAAGATGAAATCTGATCAGTAGCTTTGCTCTTGGTTGTAGATAAAATTTCTTCTGTGGAAGAGGAGAAACCACCTGCCTCAGTTGTGCTAGCCGTAGGACTTGTTATCGATTCCGTGGAAGAAGTGCTTGCATATGGATTGAGCGTCGATTCCTTATTGCCAGTTGAAGATGAAATCTGATCAGTAGCTTCGCTCTTGGTTGTAGATAAAATTTCTTCCGTTGAAAAAATCTCACCTGCCTCAGTTGTGCTAGCCGTAGGACTTGTTATCGATTCCGTGGAAGAAGTGCTTGCATATGAATTGAGCGTTGATTCCTCATTGCCACTTGAAGATGAATTCTGATCAGTTGCTCCGCCCTTGGTTTTAGATAAAATTTCTTCCGTTGAAGAGGAGATCTCACCTGCGTCAGTTGT